AAGTGGTATTAGAGCAACCTTGCAACAATGTGTTGATCCGTTTGATATCGGGCTGGCACTTAGCAGAGGAAGATTCTGGGATATGATTGAGATTGAATTTACTTATGGAAGCAACGAGGACGTTGCAATCCTAAGTGACGTGATTGTAACACTTGAGATTAATTTAAACGGATCAATAGTACTACTAATACCAACAAGATGCATGTTCTTTAAGGAAGCTCATCATCTAAGAACTTCAAGTTAAGTGTGCTTGCACAAGAGTAGTCTTGGGATGGAACCCCTTGTGAAGTTTCTCAGGTACGGATCCATCGGACATGCCTTGTTAAGGTCCGAGTATTCAACACACATGCACCAGGTCGGGCCCTTCAGTGCGAGAACCACATTGAAAATCCATTCAACATGAATGACTGGGCAGATATGTTTGATGCTGAGGAGGGTGGTTACCTCCATTCTGGTGAAATCCCACCGTTCGGCCGCCTGATACCTCTTCTTTTGTTGGATGGGCTTGGCATCTGGCTGAATGGCCAATTATTATCTTCGAGTCGATCCACAACATATCCTCCGGGACCCAGGCAAATAGAATTTGGTACTTCATGAGGAAAAGGATTATCCCCTCACGAATTTTGGGCTCCAGATCAGCACATATTGAAATTTTCCGATCAAGGGGATCATCCGATTCCACCCGCTCCAGCAGACTGGCAGGCTCGGACCGTGCCACAACGTCCTCGCGTCATGCGGTCTCCGTTAGGGCCCCCACCCTTACGGGAATAAACACATGTACGAGAGGCCTTAGATTCCCCTTCGTATTTTCCAAGTGAATGCATTTGTCGTATTGGAAAACGGGATATGCGCTCGGTCAGGGCTGTGTACACGGTTCGCTCTGCGTCTTCTCGATCGGCTTTGTCCCTCATGGCATTAGCCAACTCCCTCATGAGATGGGGATTGCGATGGACTTCATTTGGGATCAGATTGGTGAGGTCACCCCCCCCGTTTGGGTCCGCCCATCCGCTGCTGGACTCCTACGGGTGTGGGACCTTCTGCTCTCGTGTAGTTGTTCATAGAGGTCCCTGATTTGCTTAGCTATTCTCCTTGTCATTGTAGTAAGAAGTTTTTGATGCGTGAAACGTTGCTTAGCGTGAGAGCTTGCTTGAGATTTTAGTTCAAGTTTTCCACAGACGGCGCCCGTGTTAAGGATTATTCCTCGGTGTCCAAAGACCCAACACGGCCCTTTGGTGGATCATTCGTTAGTGAGCTTACGCGCAAGGAAACAACAAAGCAATACGATGTATTTAGAGGCAAAGTGGAATCCTATTCTATGCAAGTCTATAGAACGATTACACTATAGTCGAGCGACGCTCTCACCCAACCTCTAGAGTAGGCTGTATGCTATTTAGAAACTAGAGAAAAGTCTAATGCTTGAGAGTACAAAGTTGCTAAACCCCTCCAATGAAATAAATGATGCTATTTATATTACAAGTGAGTAGGTGGCGGGGGTGACATGGCCGAACCTGAGTGGCTAAGCCCCAACAATAAAATCTTTCATATCTAATGAATTAAATGCACTTCCCGCCAACTTTGAGGTTTCCCGCCATTTGCTTGGGAGAACCCTGACTTGGACGGCTGCTAGACTGAGTAATGTGGCCCAAGTAGAGATGGCAATTTCGACCGACCCATTGGATACCCGCACCAAACCGATTTGGTCAAATTGGGGAAAACCGGTTTGACTGGGGAACGGGTACAGGGCGGAGAATAACCGATTTTTTTAAATGGATAATGGTGCGGTTATGGTTCTATACTAATTCGCCCCATTATCCGCCCCGAAACCACCCCGTTCACTAATGGTGTGGATATCGACACCGTTACCCAATATTTAACATTATTAATAAATTATAACTTTTTATATATAAGAATAATAAGTATATATGCTAAATTGTGTACTCTGAATCGTATATCTCATAATAGTATATAAAGAATAATACACCAGAGGCTCACTTCAAAAACCCTAACATCCACAACTCAATGTATTACGGATTTATGGCTCAGGGCTCTGCTTCTTAACCGTGAGAACAGCTCTCTTCGATCTTTCTAAATGGAACGATGCTAGGTCTGCAGTTCGGCTCTACCGCCGATGGCTTCTAATCTTTCTCATTATCAAGGATTCGACCTAGTTCATTCTTTAACTTTTTCTTTTTACTACTTTATTATTATGTTACAAGAGATATTAGGTGCTTCTCATACTAATGAATTTAGGACCAAATTGCTCGATTGCTTGAACATTTACTTTTGTATGTTTTATGGTGCTTTTAATATATAATTTACAACGAAAGATGTTTACTTTCAACAAGTAGGGTTAGAAATTGGTTATTTGGTATCATTTGGGCAAATGGGTACCCGTGGATAAACCGATTCCCCGTTGGGGCGGGTACGGTTCAAATAAAAATTTACCCGAACGGGTAATGGGACGGTTTTGGGGCAAACATTTATCAAACGGGGCGGTTACGATTTCATGTGTACCCGTCTCCGATCCACCTCGTTGCCATCCCTAGGCCCAAGTGAGGGGAAGAGGCCGTGCAGCAATGTCGTGCGGGACCCGCCGAATACCTGTCCTGAATTGGCTATCTCTATTGCATGTCTGCATGCGTCTTGGGCCCCAGAGATATTTGGGTGCCTTTTATTGGGCCGGGGCCTAATATCCCAACGGTACTAAAACTGGAGGTAAAAATGTACTTCGAGACAGTTATTATATAACGGAGGGAGTAGCTATTTATACATTCATATATATAAATGTTATAAGAATTCATACATTCATATACGTAGTACTACCTCCGTCCCAAAAAACCTTGTCTTTTGAAAAAAATTGAACATTGAGTTTGATTTGTATAATATTATGGAAATTATAAATTTTATACTTTTATGAAAGTACTTTTAACAAAGAACATTTTTATATAATTTTTACATCATAAATAATTTTCAATAAAAAGATATAGTCGGTCAAAATTTTGAAAATGAACAAAGTTTTTTGGGACGAAGGTAGTATAATATTAGAATTTTATAGCTAGAAATTTATAAAGTATCATAAGTATACTAATATATTAATAGATAACACTTATATATATATATATATATATATATATATAATATTAAGTATATGTATATTAAAGTATTAAATATAATTATACTACTCTACTCATAGTAGTATAGTTATATATTATATACTATTACATTTTATTATATACACACACACACACACACATACACACACAAATATTTTTCAAAAAGAGCATAAATTTGGAAAATCACAAATATATATCGGACCAGTTTTCTTTCAAAAATCATTTGACGACCTTCCCGATTGAATTTTTTGCTCAAATTTTGTATGGATGATCTAGACTTGATGAGGAACATACACAAAAAATTTCAGTAAAAAATACCACCGGTTCCTTGGGGTTCTCACGGGTTCTCATTTTAAGAGAGGTTCTCACTAGAACCCTCCCCTACCTGTGCAAAGTGATTTTAAGAGAGGTTCAAATGAGAAGTGATTTTTCTGTGCAAAGTGCAAAGTTTTCACTTTTTCATGTTTCGCTTGCACTTTTTGTTGTTTGCGTTGCACTTTTTGGCCATTTTGATTTTGGCCAAATTCGACCAAAATGACGATGGCAGTTTTGTAAATAAACCAATTTTTTTGAGATACCGCGAAAAAGTGCAACGAAAGCAAGAAAAAGTGCAAACTTTGCACTTTGCATGTTAAGACCACTTTTTATTTGAACCATCCCCTATATATATATATATTAAGTATACTAATTAAAGTATTAAATCTATTTACACTGCTCATCTATATATTAAAGAGCATAATAATATCACACATGATCAAATCCAACAATATTAAAAGGTGACCCAACTACTCAACCACTACTAGGAAAATGAACTAGTGCGGAATCATCAAGAAAATTTCTCACAAGCCCGGCCTTCAACTCGCTTCTGCAACAAACGTTTGAAATATGCCCTATCACTTCAGCAGCAAAAGAAATTATAAGAGCTTCCCTAGCGGCTTTTATGTCAACTCCACGTGCTTGGAAGTAGAAAAGCTGATCTTTCAAATCACTAATGGCGGCTCCATGAGACCATTTGACATCATCTGCGATTATTTGGAGATTTGGCTTCACATTCACTGTGGCCCGGGGATCCAACAGTAGACTTCTGGTTAGCTGTCCCGCGTGCATCTGCTGAGCATCTCTATTAACTTGTACATTTCCGTCAAAGACAGCATGGCCTGAGTGAGTCACAATGCATTTGTGAAATTGATGAGAGACCCCGCATAGATGGTTTAATACTATTTTGCTATGCAAATCTTGTGTTTGGTCACCTCTTGCTAAGTGAAATGTGGATAGTTCTATCAAAGTGTCTCGCCCAAGACGATCCACATGCAAATTGTGTCTGCTCAATTTTCCGCTTGTGCTTACTTCAACATGCTCATAAACGCTTGTTGATTCCTGGCGAACTAAAGTCCGCTTAATATGTGCAGCACCTAAGGAGTAAGGACTGTCTTTGGATGTAAGAATGGCTAACCTTTGCCCCATCCCCAATAACAATCTCAATAACTGGATTGGCCCAATAACATTTGTCACTCCCGGTGTACTCCTCAACTGTACTAAGCTCACAGCCTTTTTCGACTTTTCTTGATGTATGCAATCTGATGTTCTTGGGTCTTCTTGATATTGGTAATCTTGGAAGGTAACAGGGTATTGCCCAGGATGTTAATACCCATAGAGGTGTGTGGATTGTGAGAGGCAAGTTTGAAGTGGCCATTGAATGAGCTTTAAGATTCATTTAAATATTTGAGACAAGCTTCTTCTAAATTATCTGAATTCAGTTCACACGCAAAAAATGCAACCAAAAACTTGATTATAAGTTTGGCATTTGGTGAAAGTCTACCAAACAGGCACATTAGTTCTCCAACAACATCCAAACCAGATGGATCAAGCAGACATTACTACACAGCATTCAAGAAAAATGCTTAATTCGTGCTTTTATAAATGGGAAGAAAATTTTAAACAAAGTCAATATGTTAGTTATTTTTTACAGGAATATTCACAACCTCAGGTAACAACAATTGTGCGAACAAAACTTGTGGCAGAGAAATACATATACATATATCTACCTGGTAATGGGTATATACACTTCCAAATCCAATGTCAAAAAGAAAGACACAAATTCCATCTGATTCTGAACCTTCTAATATTGCACACCGTCTTAAGGAATATTCCTCTTCTGCATCATAAAACCTCTGCCAGGGAAATGCATGTGGAGCTGGTTTAATGGTGGACGCCTTCCATCAGATCAGCGAGAGTGATCCTCCCACAACTGCCTGAATCCAACCGTTCAAACTGTTTGCAGATAAGAAATATGTCTTTCTCTGATACCTTTCCCATCTCCTTCAGCTTGTATACTATGTATTCAGATTTACTGCCACAAATCACACCACTAAGAAAATTGATATCATCGTTTCATTGACGCTTCTAATTTTAATCTCAGCCATTTTAAACATTAATCACAGGTTCTGACAGTCTGTATTCAATTTCACCTTCAATTCATTAATGAGGCTTTATTATTATTGTGAAATTTCACCACAACGTTACACCTCTTCACACAGTTCTGACCAAATTTTACCTTATGAGGTTTAATCAGACAGCAATTAATGAAATTTAACTAACTTTCAGGTATTGACAATTAAATTTAGGGTATGTTTGGATCCCGTCAGAAAATGTTAGAGATAAGAAACAAAAGGCTAAGGAAAATTTTAGGAAAATTCTCGGAAAAGAAGTAAAAATGTTTAGGAATTCCAAAATAGGACTGTTATATTTGTTTTCCAGAAATAGGAGTAACATGACAATATTTACTATCATCTTGGAGTCATTACTTTCAACATAGTAGTAGTACTAGGCAATATTTATTGCCATTAATGGCAATATTTTTCAATCATAGCAGTAGTTACTCCTATTTTGGGAAAAAAATATAGTACTCATATTTTGTATTTCATAACGTTTTTACTCCTATTTAGAGCAATTTCCCGAAAATTATTCTATTATGTTTGGTTTACCTCTTGGAAATTTAGGGTAAGTCTCTCTCTCTAATATATATATATATGTATATAACTATATATAACTATATGTGTATATGTATATAACTATATATATGTGTGTGTGTGTATGTATATAACTATATATATATATATATATATATATATATATATATATATATATATATATATATATATATATACTCCCTCCGGTTCTGAAAGATGTTTACACTTTCCATTTTTAACAGTACCGGAAAGATCTTTACACTTCCTTATTTGCCCTATTTGGCAAATAAATCTACACAAAACAGTGCCAAACAGTGCCAAACAGTGTTTATTTCCTTAAAAACTTTGAAGTCAAAGTGTCAAGATCTTTTGGAACCGGAGGGAGTATATATAGAAAATATGCTCAAGTGTTCAGTTATGACCCAAGTATGGATGCACTTCATGGGACTTTTCTCTATACCTAAACGGCTAAACCCTCCTCACCCAGTACGTTGAAGCAAATCTTAATCACTTGGTGGCTGGCTGGTGATGAAAACAGTATTGAAGGACAAACTTTTCCTCCCTGGGGCTATATATTGGTTTTTATAGAAAGCATATGCTGACGTTGTATGGCGAAGCATACTAACTCCCTCGGTATCAAAGCTCATCCTAGTCATCACAAAACACCTGTTCTCGTGGTCATTGGGTCTGACCGGCACTAAACTTGCTGAACTAAGCTCCCTCCATTACCATACTCATTTGTGAGTTGTGACCTAACTGTTATGCTCCTCCTAAAGCCACTTCCTGGTTCAAACCTCCTACTGGTCTAAAACTTAAGGCTCATACTACTAGATATCATGGAGGTGCTGTTAATCTGTTATGACTTGTGAGGGACTCGAGTAAGCTGCTTTGGAATCCCACAAGGTTATTTGAAGTACTTCAAGTACGATCCTAGAAGCCAACTCACAGCTATACAATGGGCAGTTGCACATGATCACAACCACTTTATTTTGGAATCCGACTCTGTTCCCGTGGCTCAACTACTTTCCAAGAAGAACCGGTCTCTATCCCAAGCTCTCTCTACACAGATCATATCCATAAATCAGATCTTGAATGTGGCAGCCACCCCTCTCCTCTCCACATGTAACTCTAGTGTCAACAAACTCGTCTCATCTTTAGCTCACTCAGCTACATCAAATGCTCTAGTTGTTTTTTCTACCTTCAATGATCTACCCCGTCTTACTAAAGGTGCTTTAGGAGCGTTTACTTTATTCTATTAATTTCTATTTGGATTAAGATGTATGTTTGGATTAATTAGTATTTGTATATGAGGTTGTTTATTTTGTGTGTTAGAATGAACAGTCTGAATTGAGTAAAATAATCAATATAGTATTATTGGGTTATATTGTAAATATTTTTTTTATTTAATAACATAAATCTATTCCATAATCGACTTAAAAAATTGGCTGAAAATAGGGCAGGATTCTCTACAATGACACTGAATAGACACGTCTTAATAGGCGTCTTAATGGGAAGGACTACTATATTGCAGCCTAATAATTAAGTCAGTTTTTAACTGAATGAATAAATTGTGTTTTCAATTTAGTCATAGATCAACATGACTAAATGGCTGAACGATTAAGTCCATTATTCTCATTAAGTCTATTAAGTCGCAAGTAAACTCGTTGTTCCTTACATTTGCTAAATTCTTCATGTACTTGAGGTAAGACTTTTGCCCACCCTCCTTGTAATTTTTCTCCTCAAGTCCTTATTAATAATATTTTCCATTTCTACAAAAAAAGAACAAATTTATATAATAATAATTTTCTTGAGGTGCAGCTGATCCCCTCCATATTTTCTTTCCTCCCATGTTTCTTCTATGGTTTCCTTCCTATGTCTTTTCCCTAGCAACTTCCAGGTTTCAAATGGACCTTCAAAATCTCCTAAATTTAGAATTTGTGACAATAGATTAGATTCAGCGACCTATTGCAATAATTTGTAACATGTAAGTTATTAAGTTTTGAGGAGATGAATGGTCGAAATCTTGTGGAAGGAAATTGTGATGAAGCAGGAAAGTCACTCCGGATTACAGGGAAATGTCAATTTTGCTCATGCATAAAATGGTACGTAGTATGAGTTAGACCCTCCCTCCCCAAGGTAAATAAGATACTAATCCAATAGATGAAAAAGAAGGGACCAATGAAACTAAATCACAATGAAGGAAGAAACTCAAAGTTGATTGAACACTCAATTGCTCCTCATGCAGGACTCCCTCTCTCTTCCACTCAAGTTCTAAAAAGTAAAAGGTTTACTCTCTCAATTTTCATATTTCTCGGATTTCCCTATTTGCTATAACAAAATCTTTGAGATTTAAGCTCCCATATTCAAAAGATTCAATAAGAATGTATGCACTTGTTACATATCCTAGTAAAAACTAACTCAATGTACTTTCTAAGATTTATAGTCCATTTCAAAAAGCACTCGTCAATCGTCATTACATGTAAGCCCTACCTGGGTTTGAATGTAATACGTCAGTGTGAGGTAAACTTAACCTCTAAAAAGTCTTTTGGGGTTAGAAAGGCCCAAGTTTACATGCTATGAAAGTCTGGTTCAATGACTTGGGGTCAGTTCCGACCCATTTTCCCACTCCAGTTCTCCAACCCAATTTTAAGGTTTGTGCGCATTTGCTGTAACCCTTTAATTGTCTAACCCGGTTTGGACTAAGTGTTTGTGTTGTGTATCCCACTTTAGTTGTCTAGTGAGATAAACTTTAATCCTTGGAGATCATTTTAGGATAAGTTAGTCCTAATTTAACACTACCTTCTGACTTTGTCTGCCATGTTTTCATGCCTCTTATTATATGAACATTAACCAATCTCTCCTTCTAATTGCTACCTTAATCCACATATCTGGTCTGCTCTTGTATGTGTATATTGAACACTAAGTATTAGTTTTCATACTCTAGTGTTTTGGGTAAACCAGATGGACATCTCATCCAACCACACATAAAATGGATCTGAAATATAAACTAGTTAACCTCATAATTTCTCTAGCACACTAGATGATTCAATGCAGACTTGCCACTTCAACATGTATGCCAAGCAATTGCCATGGAAAAATATCAGCAGTTCTAAGTTCTAACAAAATCTTTCTTTTCCTGTACACTTAAAAAATATCCCACATTTTCGGTTCTTAGGAATTAGTATCAATGTTTAATGGCACACCAACTTGCTCTTAAGAGCAAGAACGCTGTCTAAGATTACAACCCCATTTATAAAAGTTATTTGGCTGAAATGACTTCATCTTCTGAATTATCCCAAAAGAAACTGGGTCAGGTAACATCCATTTGAGCCAATTGCATGAGTCATAACTACTCATTCTAATTGTTCTCTATGATCTGATGTGTATTCTCCTTACAAGCAGAATACAGCAGATTAGCCTACAAAACAGAAATAAACCTGAGAGTGAGGAGAGGAAGAAAAAACGGCTTACGTGACAAAACCATTGTTATCAATGTCGGCAGCAAGAAACTGAGAAACAGTCAAGTCCTGATCAAGCACCCATTTGGCCATCATTCGATGCCTTTTATCCACCCTTGCCTCAGCCAAGTAAAGAAAGGCTCTCGCAACAGCAAGAGTTGACACAAGCAACCAAAACGATGCGAAAGCCCGACCGGTCAAAGAATTGAATGCCCTGTCTCCGTACCCAACTGTAGTAACTGACATAACGGACAAGTAAAGTGAATCTAACCACCCGAGCCTCTCGACGAAATGCATGACTACAACCCCCACACCAATGCATAGAACCACAACACCCAATGCCAGTGTGACCTTCATTCGAATCCTCATCCTCCCCTTCTTCACATCTATTATGTAAGAACCGCGGACATGCCCGCCCTTACTCTTAACAGTCTTCAGCAGATAAGACTCTTGCAAATCAAGAACGTAAGTAACCATCCCACTTAACAGAATGTCAATAAACCCAAAACCGACAAGCACAAACATGACGGAGAACAGCTTAGCGGCAGGACTATCAGGAGTTATATCCCCATAACCAATAGTACACATCGTGACAATGCAAAAGTATAGAGCATCAACCACAGGATGGGTCTCAGAGCCCCTAAAATGCTCCTTAAACAAAGAATATATAGACACGCCTAGAATCAAGTAAAGACCTAAAAGCACAATAGCTTGTCTCACAATTGCAAGTTTCAATGGTGGCTTGGGAATTGCAGAGGAGTGGTGCTCAATATCATTGATTGTCGCTAAAGCAGGGGCAGTCTTCGACCTGTGCAGATTGCTCCTTGACCATAATCTGTAATTTGAGTCCAATGTCCGCGGATTCTGATCATTACTGGGTTTAGGGTCTGAGGGTGCCCAACAATTCAAATCAATATTGAAATTTGGGTCTATGGGATCAAGATTGGGATTTAGGTCTCTAAAAGGGCCTTTGAAGGAAGAAGGAGAAGGAGGAGAAGCAGAACCAAATATTAGTCTGTCTTTGAATTCTGAAGGTGTCAAAGGAGGAACTGTGATTTCATTGTCTTCAGGTAAAGGGCAAAGGGAAATGGGAGGTGGAAGTGAAGATTTGGGTGTGGAAAAGGGAAGGAGAGGCTCTTTTTCCATCTTGATTTGCCGGTTGTATGGGTTGCCGCCTTGCCAGGACGCCGGGAAAGTAAGGGTGCCGGCGAGAAGGGTTGCAACGCCCGGTTATTAGATACTCAAAAACGACTCAAAATTCTGTCGCGAAACCGTATGATAAGCAGCAGTGCGGTAAATAGTTTGGTAAGGATTTTTCCAAAAGGATTTGTCCAAACCGAATGGTTTGTGATTGGAGTATAATTTCCTAGAGAGAAGTGAGATTAGAGAGAAGTGCAATGAATGTTGTAATAAATGTATTTATGAACCCTCTACAACTACTCCGAAGGAGAGTATTTATAGAGAAAATGTAGACTGAACTTCCAAGTCTTGGGCTTGGGAGACCCGATTATAATGAGACCTCTATTGGGCTGAATACAAAGTACTCCATCCGTCCCTAAAAGGATTGCCAAGTTTGGCCGACACGCAGAATAATAAAGTAAAAACTGTGTGGTAGAAATTTGTGCAGAGGAGAGAGAAATAACATGAACCACAAATTGATTGATTAAAAGGGAAAGTGGCAAAATTTTTGGGACAACCAAAAAAGGAAAGTTGGCAAAGTTATAAGGGACGGAGGGAGTATGTAAATTGACTAAGTATGAAATCCGGCTCTGTGAGCTCTTTGTGGCTGACGGAGGTCTGGCCGATGGAGACATGGCCGACGGGTACACCCCGGTTCTCCTGGCTTCTGGATCATATTCTGAGTTGATGTCTTTTCGGCCGATGGAGGGCCATCTGGCCGACGGAGGACCTGATGGGTGACAGTTGTGCTTCTTATTCTTCTAAGTATGTGGGTCATGGGGTCCCCCACTCTCTGGGCTGAGGTGCAGACAAAGTGAAAGAGAGTAGATTCCTGTGGCCTTGATGTTTTTGGCCGACGCGGTACCGTTGTGAATATTCTCTGTGTTTGGCCGTTGTGCGGCCTCTGCTGTGGACGAAGGAGGTCCTTGTTCTGAGGGTGGTGCACGCTTTCATGCTTGAGGACGATGAGTGTCCTCACTTGAGTAGCCGATGAGTGCGATGTTGTTTTTCCTATTTTGGCCGAAGGCAAAACCTTTGGGCTTTGGACGTTCCAACGGTATCGGCGTTCTGATTCGTGTCCGCTGGGGGTTCACATGTCTTTGGACGTTGTGTGTAACGTTTTGGACGTTGTGGTGTGCAGATGATACAATGTTATCGTTGTACTTGTATGCTTGGTTTCTTGGGTTCTCAATTTTCATCTTTCGTCTTGGTTACTTGTACTTATCCCCCAGCCCCCCACTGCTTCAGGCCGAAGGATGAGTGAGGGGTGAAGGAGTAAAGTAAAACCCCAGGCCAAAGTGGGATCCTCGTATTTTGACTGAATCCAACCTCTTGGCGATTCCTGACCAAGGTAACCCTGTGGGAGAACCCTTGGACGCAGGTCGCTTTCAAGAGGTTATCATCAGTAGGTTATTTACGAGGGCCGGTGGCTGTTAGGTTCTACTATACTTTGCTTTTGTGGACGTTGAAGAGACCATGATGTTGGTGATATGTCCGGCTGACACGGGTGCAACTTGGGGCTTTTGTTGCCGAGGTGGTGTCCTGATATGGGGCAAGCCGCTGAAGTGATATTGACTGCCTTGGTGTGGTTGTTTGAATGTTGTGGCCGATGTAGGCGCCGCTTTCTGGTTCATTGAACCGTTGCGTCCCCCTTGGAAGTGGGCTGGTAGTGCTGGAAGTGGGTCTGGTCCATCTTTTGAAGCGGTGGCACCTCATTGGTCCTTGGGGTGGTGGCCGTTCGTGTGACCACTTGGCAGGTGATATGTGTAGTGACCGTTGGGAGGAGGTCTATAAGTACCCCTCCTCTCCGAAGCGAGATGCTCATTTGTGACCTGAGCTAACGAAGTGCTGCCGGATTTTCTTGAGAGATAAGGTGTTCATCAGTGTTCTTCACCCCCTTCAAAACTTCAAAGGTTAGTTCGTCAACCTTTCTTCCCCTTTTTGTATACTTTGCTTCCCTAGGCTTCGATCTAGTGTTAATCAACGAGCCATACTTAGATTCCAAATAATCCTCCTTAGGGCTTGAGTAGTTGTTATGAGGAAGCCTTTGGACGAAGAGTACTACCCCTACGACGATGAGGTTTCTGCCAAGTCCCTTGATTACCAAGTGGTGGTAGAGTGTTGTGAGGAGATTGAGGAATTGAGCCCATTCAGGTCAGGGGAGCAGGAGAACGAGGAAAGTATGGACGAGGAAGCCGCCTCGTCATCTGAGGGTGAGGACGTTGGAGTCTCGCATGTGATGGACGGAGCATCCACGTCGGCCACCATTCTGTGCCCTGATCCCCTCTCTGTCGTCAAAGGGAAAGCTCCGCCGAAGAGGAGGCGTCGGCCGAAGAAAGGTCCGGGCGTCTCCTACTTGGATCTTATCAATGTTTACATCATCATGCCGCAGAGCAACGCATGTGAATACTTGGTCGCTCAGATGTATGTGGGCCCGTATGGTAGGGTTAGGGTGCCCAGGACGACGGATCATGTACTCAATCCTCCAGCATGGTATTTTGGGGTATATCCCATGAGTTTTGTAAAGGGGCTTAGGTCCCCTCTTCATCCGTTCATCACGGAGTATCTGAACATCGTGGACCTTCCTCCGGCCTTGCTGACCCCGAACAGTTATTCCTTGATCGTCGGGTTCCTGCTTCGTTGTTCCGAGTTAGATATGGCACCGACGATGGCCCTGTTCATGAACATGTACCAAATAGGCTGAGGCAGCCACAAGAACTGTGTCGGCTATGCCAACCTCCACCAGGTGAAGAACATGAGGTCCTTTACTGATCTTCCTTCGTCTATTCACGGCTGGAAGAGTAAATTTGTTTTTGTGTCATTGGGCGAAGAAGGGACCAAGTTTCCTTCAGTCGGTCATACCAAAAGGTTCAACTTCCATGAGGTGCCGAAGAGCGCACTCCTAGATGCTCAGGTGGAGGCATTTTTGAAGGGCGGGCCGAGGAGCGTGAAAGAGTATATCACGGAGTACAAGATGGCCGCCCTCGTCTTTGTGAGGTACTTCGTTTATGGGGACGCAGAGGACGATGATGACATGTGGCCAAGGATGTCCACGACATTTGAGGAGGCCGATGGCCCGTACTTGGGTGTGCCTGCTGAAGCCGATGGTCATACCCTCCTAGCGTCCTTGGTCCTGTTTTATTTTCTTGCTTTACTAACATTGTTTGGTTTTTGGCCATGCAGACTTTGTCATGGACCGCAGATCTATCATGAAGAGGGTTGCAGTGAAAGCGGCTGGGGAATTGGCGGCCAAGGAGGCTGCAAAGCAGGCATCGGCTAGTGGAGCCCAGCCTAGCACCGATCAGGCAAAGAAACCGCCCACTCAGTCGAAGAAGAAGCGGCCAGCAGACGACAGTCAGAAGAAGTTGACTGAGGCTGGTTTGCAGCCTTCCAAGAAGTCTAAGAGGGTTTCTCCCTCGTCTGCTGTTGATGCTGGAACTCTGGTCGTCCCAGCTGGAGACGATGGAGGATCCAACGCTGACGCCATCGTGGACCTCACCTCTGGCCCCTCGTCCGTTGCTATCTCTCAGCCTCCCCTGAAGCCCAAGGCTCTCGGAAGAATCGGTCCGGCAAAGAGCTGGTAAGGGGGACTTACAAGCTTGAGGTTGAATATCCCGTCAAAGGCGGCGTGTTCAATGAGATCATTGACGGCCATGAGGTGATCTCCCAGGCCGTTCCAGATAAGGACCGGGCTTATCTTAATGGGATGGGTAACGTCCAGATTTATGACGGTGGAATGGACCACCTCGTCCAAGTAAGTTGGCTTTACATTGTTATTTTCTTTATTCACATCATTGCAGGTGTCATCGTCGTCCTAATTGTCATGCTTTGTGCAGGCGGCCTTCATGCTGATGGAGAGCCATAATAGGCAGCAGGCGGAGATTGCTCGGCTAAGGCAGATCAAGCAAAAGGCTACTTCGGCCGATGAGGCCTTGAGCTGTTTGGACCGGCTGCGAGCCGATGTGGAGGTGCTAACGAAGAGGGCTGATGATGCTGATGCGGCCGCCCGTCAGTTTGTCGCTGAAAGGGACGATGCCCTCCAGAAACTCGCCGATGAGAGGAAAGCTCATGAGGAGGGCCTTCGGCGTGGTGACGAGGCCGAAAAAGCCAAGACCGAGGCCGAGCGAGCTGCTGAGGTTGCTGTAGAGAAGGCCGCCGACGCCGCCATCGAGAAGTTCTTGGTTGATGGCTGGAAAGCTGAGGAGCGCCGGCCTTGGTGCTTTGAGGTCATGGAGGCCAGGCTTGAAGATTGGGCCTAGCACAGTCCTGAAGGCCAAGAGTACTTCGAAAGGGAGATGAAGGTGTTCTACGACCTCGGCCAGCAGGGATGCAAAAGCTTATTTACCGGAGGCTGCGCCGGCGTTTCATGGAGCTGAACCTGATGAAGTCGTTTGCTGCCGGCCTGAGGCTGCCCCAGAAGATGAAGGATCCGGAGATTGAGGTCAAGCTTCCTGTGGAGGAGAGGCAGCCCCCCATCCTAAGATCTGACATCGGCGAGGATGATTGGGGTGACGATGATATATTCATGGACACTGCTTCTTCCAAAGCCGATGAAGCCAGTTATACGCCCGGTCAAGGTGCCGGTGCGGAAGAAGCTTGATCCCTCTTTAGTTTCTGTGCTTGACATGTAATGACCGATGTGCCCCCCTTTTGTACTTTGAAATTTTAATGCAAATATTTGGTTAACTTCCCCAGCTTTAGTTTCTACTTCGTCGTCCTCGTCCTTGTATTGATGTTGCCATTTCATACTTTGAAATATTTCTAAGTGTTAGCTGAGACCAGGTAGTTGTTTTCCTTAGTTGTGGTCGATGAAGGTGTCTGATCCTTGTTTGGCCAAGGGCGGATATTTCCCACGGATCTTTTGAGTCCGCGTTGTCTTCCCTGTGGCCTTCATCGGCCAACTAAATGTCAATTGAGAATTTTTCAAGTGTTCTGGGGTAGTCTGTGCATGCATTTTTCGTCCAATACCCATCTAGGACCAGGCTTGGATATGGGATCATGCTCAATGGTCCTGAGGACGTTTGTCCAAATATAGCATTTAACCGATATGTACTTAGCGAAATCTGTGGGGATTTTATTTTTATTGCTCGAGGCCGGCAAGTGCACGATCCATCGACTTCCCTCTTTTGCTTTGTGGGGATTTCACCGGAGGCCGGCGAGTGCACGGTCCTTCGGCTGTCCCTCTTTTGATTTGTGGG